TGCCTCTCCTTTGTGATTGAGGGCACTGGTGCCAGGAACCGTTCACCACTTCGACCCTTACTTCACCTTCAGGGGTCAAACAATTGTCCCGTCACGCCATACCATGTGCATTTATTACTTGATAATTTAGACATAAGATATCACACAAGTTTTGATCATGGATTTAATAACATTGATTATATAAAATAGAATAAGTCCAAACCTACAAGGCGGTGGCTCACGGGCCAATCTATTGATATGGACCGATGAATTCTGTATATTTCTATAGGAAAATGGCATGGGTCGCACCTGCCTAAAATTTCTATTCATGACAACTATGTATGTCTTTAATGCTGGAGTATGACACCCATATAGTCTTTTCGACTTCTTCCTGACATTCCTAGCTTTTCTACAGCCATCAGTGTAACATGGAGTATGTACACTGGAGTTGGTCGATGTTTTGGGAAAAGATTCTGTTGCAATGTCACATAAGAGAGTGAGTGAGTGAGTATGGTTTTACCCGGCTGTTAGACATATTCCAGCAATATCACGGCGGGGGACACCAGAAATAGGCTTTACAAATTGTATCCATGTCGGGAATCGAACCCGGGTCTTCCGGAAAATGATCACTACCACATTAATCGTCATAAACTGACCAGAAATATCGATATAGATAAGTCTTTGGAAGAGTATGTACCTGTTGCTGGATGTAGATATGTATCACTACCATCATTAAACGAACATCGTTTATGTTTTTGAAGCAAGTCGTCTTGCACCTTTGTCATTATGATTTGTTGAACCCCCAAATGGATTGCTTTATCGTGTAAAAAAATGCCCTTTAACCTCGACAATTCCACTGAATTAATGCGTTTGTTTTTAAGGTGGGATAATGGGTGATACCGCTCTAGCTTTCTCTTTTGGTGAGTGACCACTGGTAAACACTTCGGTATCCACCATATCTTCAAACAACCCAAATCTTGAAGCAACCAACAGAATCTTTTGAGTTCCTTTGGCATAAGGTCAGATTGAATGTGTTTGTTTCTTAAGGTTGGCATGGATAGATTTGGTCTGTTCGATGTTTGGTTCTGTGTGTGTTAATGTAGGTTCTACTTCAGAAAGTGGCTGTGAATGTTCTGAGAATTGAAGGCTCTGTTGGGCATGTGGCGTCCGAAAATGTGAAGTAACCGAGCGTCTTCACTAGCATCAGTGCAGCTGAATCTTTTCTCAGATTTCATTTTGGGCACAGTGGCCTCATATTTCTAAACGGAGCAGTCAGTTGAAGATGTCATACGTTGTCTTTGCAATTTCAGCACTTTATGGTCTGGCTACCTGTGTTGTCATCATCACAAAATTCTCCAAATATGAAGCAAGTTAGCTTATTTTATTCAGAAAATGTGCCCTTGAACACACTTCTGACATTTGAAGCAATGTGTAGGACGTTGGATGAAAAGATCCACATGTATAGAAAAACATCCGACTGGGAAGTACTGGAGTGTCAATAGTCAAACGATATGTGTGCGAAAGGAATAGGGGGCCATCTTTATGATAGGTAAATCGTTTTGCCTCAATGGTACCTTCACTTCTTATTTCAAACACAATTTATGCATCAACGTGAATTTGATCTCTCTCCCGGATAAGACCTTTGTTGTAATTAAGAGTATTGATTGTAGGACCAGTAATTGAGTTTTACTGGCCCATTCAATCAAAAGGCCTCAAGACAGAAACTTTGTAACATCTTCCAACTCACCAGCTTTACTTGTAGACCTTTTTTTCCAAACGCAACCGTGAATATAAAGAAGGATTGTGGTCACCCTTTGCTTCAAGAATACGAAACCGAAGCCAATTACCCCTTTTAGAATATAATAACTTGATCACAGTTTCATTGGAAGTTTGGAATCTGATCTTGATAGCAACGTTACTAGGGACCGTATTTGGATGGTTTCGGCGGTGTGGGTGATGCCTCCAAGAACCTAAGGAGCACGATTTGGTATCTGTGACAATGATGTAAAAAGTTATTTGTCCAAACACAGTAAACATACGTTGATACATATTTAAAAGATGCAACTTGGCAAAACTTATCATCAAGGTTGAAATTAAAGTGTCAAATGTTCTTAAAGTGAAACACGACACCATCATAACACGGGCGTTATCATGCGGAAACTGGTGGTTACGGCGACGTGACAAATGAGGTATGGCGTGTGGTCTCAAGACTTGACCATTGCACCGAGCTGCTGCGACATCATTGCCTCTCCCTGGACCGATGTTCTGGAAGACCACAGTTGATGATGTACAACAATCTCTCATTCTCTCAGATGTTGTAGCAGCTCTACCAGCATTCCATGCGGTCACAGGTTGTGGACCTGGAACATATGTATCGCACAACCGTATTTGTTGGAACCAACAGAAGAAACTGGCGCCTTCGACATCAAAGATACAGTTGTGCTGTGTCATGTCTAAACAGAAACAACTTACCTACCTCTCCAGATGAGACGGGGCGGTCGGGTAGCTTAGTGGTTAAAGCGTTCGCTCGTCACGCCGACGACCCGGGTTCGATTCCCGACATGGGTACAATGTGTAAAGCCCATTTCTGGTGTCCCCCGCCGTGATATTGCTGGAATATTGCTAAAAGTGGCGTAAAATAAAAACTCACTCCAGATGAGACGTACTCTGACGGTGATTAGAGGTGACATTATTTCACAATGTTTTTTCATACTTCATAATACTACAAGTATTCTCATGTTTGTTTCTTCACTCAAATGTAAAACTTGTGAAATGCTCAGACAAAGGTGCAGTATATCTACAATTTTGAGTGAATTGATGTCCATGTTAATTTAAATCTAAATTTAGCCGCTGGAGAAAATAGCTTTCAATATTTCTTCTTTTTTTTCATTGTTTGGGATCAGTTTACCACAGAAGTGAGTGAATAATGTACTTCATTGAAAAGACAATGTGAAAAGCTTTCATATGATATATTACATGACCATGTTGAAGAACTATATTAGATCTTGATTTTGAAAACAGGTCAAATGGCGGTCATCTTGAAATTCAAGATGGCCACCATAAATGCTAACAGAAAAACTTGAAACATATTTTTTCTTTATGAGTTTACCATTTTGGTGTTTTTAAGCATTGTTGCAATCATTCCACTCATCCACTATATCAACATCATCTACCACTATATCTCAATAAGCAATTTTCGTCAAAATTGTTTTTTAGCGGGTGGGGTAACATTGTATACACTATCTCAGCCCGTATGTAATATGTTTTCATTTTGTTTTCTATTTAGGAAAGTACAATGGTTCAGGCAGATTTCAATACCCAGTTATAGTGGTTTTATTGTCACATTCAATGGAATTAGTGTTTTTACCTACTCACAAGATTTGAAAATGAAGTAAAAAAAACTTATTTTTATCAATGTTTCAACTGAGAATTAAAATAACAGTTAAATGAAACAAAATGTTTGCCAAATTCAGATAACCGAACACATTACCTGTAATCAAAGACAGTATTTGGATAGTTTTATGACTTAATAAAAATGTTACCGCCAATTATGTCAAATTATGCATTTCGCCTTCAATTTATGCAATTTTGACCCCCTGAAAATTCACGCGCACACTTGAAAGCTTACTACCCAATGAAAATTGTGTACAAATACCTCCTTTATGCATTTGAAAAGGTTTAAGGTGTACAGGAAAATGTGGGAACGAAAAGCTTGTTTTTCACTCCTGGCCAACTGACTATAACACAACTCGCAGATAACTATGCAAATTAAAACAAACATGAGTCTGCTTTCAGTGTTTTATTTTAGAGTTAAATTAAGAATTATAGCAAATGAAGCAAACTAACATATCAATAATTTGCTGTTTACATCACAAATCCATTGATTGGCGGAATGGGTCAGAAGTGGAACAACTACTCCTAGGTTTTGGATAGCATCACATCGGTCCAGGTTCATTCCTCAGAACTAACAAGATTCATACAGTGAGCAAAATATGTGCGACTCATAAAATACATTTTGTTAAGATGTTTCGTGATTCAAGTGTATTTGAAATTGTTCACCTTAATCAGTCTCAGTGAGTGAGTGAAAAATTTAAAAAGTCACCTCGGCAATATCAGATATATCGCAACTATCAAGGGTTACATATTATACATACAATGAAACATTAATGACAACCTGCCAACAATAGACAGTAAAATAACAAGACTTATCACAGAAAAAGGTAAGAAACTAGTATTAAATAAAAAAACAAACAGGCTATAGACAGCCAGCCAATGACCTATCGTCTGGGGGCCATGGGGAATTACAGTACATTTGCTACCTGCAAGGACCAAACAGGATTTACATCATCCCTTCGAGTGTTGGCGATTATTTACTAACTTATTAAAATGACAATTATTAGATTCTACTATTAAAATCGTGATAGCTCTAAATTTACTTTAATATATGTGGAACTTGCGTAGCCTTTCAGGGGGAACAATACTTTTACAGTACTTGAACCCCCTTGGAGGATACAGCCACAAACAATCTAAGTAATCAATTTTTTTTCCGCCATTTATAAAAAAAACTTGATTTCATACACAACATATTAATCGATTGTTAATCTACCAATCATAAAACTATTCTGTTTTTAAACACATCAATCAAAAGTTTTCAAACAACGCTTTCCTTTAAAATGATTAAACGATAATTAACACCATCAAAAAGGTCCTAAATAGTTGATGATATGGAATATGCATCCCTTGTGAGGGCAAAATCAAGACAGTCAAGCAGGAATATACTTTATCAGTCAGAGGGTTAACACAAGCAATACGTTGTAACAGCAGTGGTTACGCATGTACTTGCAGGATGTTTGTGCGGATGTGACCGCCAGGTGAATCAGGATATTTGAAATACGTAGCCTTTACTCTTGTAATTTGAGGAGGATGACAGTGTTGAAGCATTTTAGACCATTAGGCCAACTTTTCTCTCAAACAGCATAAAACATCCACACTTTAGTGACGGAAACACAACTAGTATCACATGTATTCCAATACTTTATTCTATTACAGAAATCCATTTTTTAAACTATATATTAATCAGTAGTGAAAACAAAAAAAATCTGAATACCATTCTTATAATATATATAATATATATTTCACCATATTTGTGAAACTTATACTTAAAGGTGGTGTCAGTTATCTTCAACTTGCTGAATATCAACTTTAGCATTTGGTCATGACAAGATTAGTGCTGGAATCAAGAGTGCAACGTCTAGTTCATGACATCATTAAAGCGGATATCTGAAACCACAAAAAAACAACTGAACGAGTTAAATGTATAATTTTAACATACAAATTATTATTTTATTCTTCTTATCTGTAAGGCTACAGTATTTGCCAATGAAAGGTGAATGGATTTGGTAATGATAGCCCATAGCGTGGTTAATAATAGTGCTATAACACTGTAGCTCACCTGGGCATGTAGTCAACACTTTATGGATTGACCACCCGATCCATTTAGTTGTCTCTTACAGTCAGAAGTGAGAACTGGAGACCTGTATTAACCCACAATGCCCACGGGAGGATTGAACTTACATTTAAAACAGCGTCATACACGTCTTGTGATGTCTGCAGTTCAGGTTGGAGGTCCTGTGATCCCGGTATTCTGGTGTCAGTTCCTTTGCATTCAGTTGTTAAATAAAGATATTGAATTACACTAAAAACATCTGATTGTATTGTTTACAAATGCATATGTCAACATTATGATGCAAGTCATATTGGCAGATAAATTTGAATAATTATGCGCTGAGTATACTATACCCTTTGCAGTGTTAAATGTGTTATTTAATTTTCCCATCCTCAATCCCAGTGTTATTGTACCTGGGATGCGATGTATTATCGGGTCAAGCTGATGCCACCACCCTTCATGTAGCTGAAACAACAACACTTGCATCAAAGAAATCAGTTAGTGAACAAAAGATATATAGGCTCACAGACTATATTTATTCTATTCGATGCCGTACTGAAGTTGTTTACAAATGTCAGAGTCCAATTCAAACCATATTGATCTTAAAGAAATATTCAATTACATTTACCATAACATCATAAGTTTGTATTTTAAACAAGATTTTACCGCTTTGGTTTCTTGTTCTCTCCGGCTCTGGCAAAACTGTATTGTCTTTAACGATCGCTTTACAATGAATATTCACAATGCAATGTCCTTTTAGTCGATTCTGATACTGTTTACACTATTTTCGTTGATGACGTATCATGGATAAAGGTGATTGAGACATTTATGAAATGGTTTAGTTTCGACAGTAGAATGAGTAACTGGGCAATGTCCCATGGGTTTTGTAGTAATTTACATGTTTTCATATATATTTACCTTGTAAAGTAGGCTGTGAATCTGGAATATCACCCAAGTCGAGACTGGAGGCGAGGCCACCAAATGTGTCGATGAGTTCCCCCAGAGCTTTCTGGCCGTGACAGGAAAGAAGGATTCGCGTATCTCGTGTGTCATCTTCTGGAAGCTGCCTCTTGATGTTTTCATCAGATTGCTTCTGCAGTACACCAGTGAAGAGTAATGAGCTCCTCTCGTCTTGTAGATTCAAAAGTTCTCTCAGTGTAGTCTTTTGTTTCTCTTGAACCATTTCATTGGGCGCCTGTAGACTCCCTTTAATCCCGTTCATGAGTTGCCTCTGTCGATGAAGAAACTTTACAGCAGCATTTCTGAAAACTTCAATGACTTTTTGTTCCAGTTTTCTCTGTGTATTGCCCAGTTCATTTTGGTGATTCTTGACATTTCCCGTCCTGTCTGTGACATCTTCCAGTTTTAGTTGTTGCTTCTGCACTTGCTCCTCAGGCAGACCCATTGCACCCCGATAGGCTTCACTCTTGTGATCCTTGTGGGCCCAGTGTACACACACAAGGCAGATAGCCTGCTTACATGTGTGGTCATACAGCTGCAGCTTAGTGTCAGGGTGGTCTCTGCAGATGGGATCTTTCAGCCATTGCTTCAAAGGGATATTTCCTGCCTGGGGGATCTTATGGTTTCGATTCTGTGTCGGTATGTCATGCACTTTATGGCAGTCAGAACAGAGCAGGTTATCACAATCATGACAATGCAACATAGTGTCAGGGTAGTCTCTGCAGTTGAGTTCTTTAAGCCATTGATTTGTTGGGATATTTTCGTCCTCGTTGATTTGACCCACTCTGTGGTTTGATTCCTTTTCAGCAGTCATGCAGGTTCTGACAGTCGGAACAGAACAGGTCATCACATTCGTGACAGTACATGTCAGACTTTGCATGATGATCTCCTTCGAGATAGTTGCATTTCTTCTCTCCATCAACGTTGGCAACATAGGCAGCTTCATTGCGTCTGACATGATCAACTGCTGTGTGGTCCATGAACTCGTGGCCGCAAGAGGGACACTGTGTGCAGTTTTGCTTTGCTTTGGTAGCTTGGTGATCGATGCATGGCTTGCAGGCAGAATGAAGGCACGGAAGAAGACAAAGCTGATTCTCATCACAGCAAGAGTGAGTTGAAAACTGGCACTTTCTCTCAGTGGAACCTAATGGTGTAAAAGTGTAAAGAAACCGATTTAGACTTATCTATTCAAGCTCCTACTTATCTTTTGATGTTTCTATGTTCATCACTTTTTAAGTTTATAAGAGTGAGTGAGTGAGCTTTACACTGCTTTTAGCAGTATTCCAGCACCATCACGGCGGGGGACTCGAGAAATGGGCTTCACACATTGTACCCATGTCGGGAACCGAACCCGGGTGTTCGGCGTGACGAACATGTTTATAAGATGGATTGTCCCTTCGTGCAATGTACCTGCTCGTTGGACTTGCTCTGTAATGTTAGCCCTATCTGGAGTCAGTGACCTGGGAACCCCTGATAAAGCTTCATATGCCTCCAGTTCTTCTTGTAGTCTCTGAAATAATAGTTACACTACATCATGATCCGATATGTTGTTGTGTTAATGTTACAAATCATATCCTCATTAGATGAGAAAGTTTTGTATATCCTCATTAGATGAGAAAGTTTTGTAAAGTACTACCTCAGTAAGTCAGTCACAATGACAGCTCTTCGTAATACATTTACATCAGGTACAAGACGTCAAAATGGCCGACACGATAAACGTGACGGGAGATATTTCCAAAGTTGTTAATGAACCTGTGGCGGTTACATGTGTTAGTCATCATTGATCAACTGGGCAACCATTGAAAGGTGAATAAAGATGCGTCAAACAGACACTAGGGTAAATTCATAGATTGCTGGAGACGGTCAATGTCAGCCTAGACACGGATCGAGTCGATACTACGATAGTTTAGATGTGCATTTCTTCCTTTGTTCATTAGAATAGGCCGTAGCGAGGATATTCGTGAACAATCATGCAGTCACGCTCTGTGACATTTCACAATGTATACTGAAACGCTGAGACCAAGAATAAATGTTCTAAATGATCAGATAGAACGCTTATGTATGTTTTCGTGCTAGGGAATTGTGTCAAATTGTGTCGTTCATACACTTATGAACGTCAATTTCGCGGTCATGTGACCGACCTCTCGTCCAATGGAAAAGCCGTATATCGTGTAAACTTCAAATTAAAAAATTATAATGTTATAACCTCCTAGAAAGGTATCTGTGAAGTCAAGGATATGAGCACATATACATACGTATCCCGTGTGCAATGAAAAGGAACGCGAAAGATTAAGGATTAACAATCTGTTTGTAAACAAGAGCAACCGGCGCCCTGGTTGGGTAAAAGGCACGTTTTTGTTTCTTTGTTAAATGGTTGAAGGGAAAAAGGAGACTCCAATATGTTGTGTCAGGTTAAGAAATGATTTAAATATTTTAGTGAGGACCATAACATGTACTTTGGTGTTTGTTTCTTCGAAATAAAACGACTATATACATATATTTATCATGTCCTGCGGTAGTGCCCCAGACTTAACCCTCGTGTATTGATCCAAAACATGTTATGTAATTCGTCTATTTTTATTGCGTCAACATGAATGGAATTGTGGCTGAACTTAACTACTTAACCGAAAAATATGGGTGGCAACATTCAGCATATTATCCAAGGAAACCAATTTAACTTGACTCATTATTTCCTTGAAATATCATGTTTCTTTCATCGAGTGACGGGGTAGCCACAAGTGAAAATATCTACTTGCCCCCGTCACGAGATGAGAGAATCATGACATTTTACGATACATATGGAATATTCCCTATGTATTATAATATTTTGGTGTAGTTGTCCACGGGATGTTATAACATTACAAAGGTGAATCCTTGAAACGTGAATTCTCCCTAACTGACACGCAAGGGCGTGTTGGGCGTGTTTTGTTTGTTTGTTTGTTGTTTAACGCCGCACTCAGCGATATTCCAGCTATATGACGGCGGTCTGTAAATAATTGAGTCTAAACCAGACAATCCAGGATTGAAATCATGAACATCGATCCACGCAATTGGGATACAATGACTTGTATCAACCGAGTCAGTGAGCCTGACCACCCGACCCCGTTAGTCTCCTCTTATGACAAGCATGGGTTGCTGGAGACCTATTCTACCCCGGATCTAACGGGTCGCAGGGGACGTGTCGTCACCAAAAGTAATAAAACATATTTGAGGTCACTAAAATTCTTATCATTCATTTGGATATTATTATATTCCAAATTCGACCCGTGAAGATTCCGGGCTAGAATAGGTCTTCAGCAACCCATACTTGCCGTAAAAGGCGACTATGCTTGTCGTAAGAGGCGACTAACGGGATCGGGTGGTCAGGCTCGCTGACTTGGTTGATACATGTCATCGATCCCAATTACGTGGATCGATGCTCATGATATCAATCACTGGATTGTCTGGTCCAGACTCGATTATTTACAGACCGCCGTCATATAGCTGGAATATTGCTGAGTGCGGCGTTAAACAACAAACAAACAAACAAACATTACCAAATTCAGAAACATATTCTTGAAAGCTACAAGACCGCTGTTGAAAGCGAAAGAATACACTCTGGTCAAGTAAGAAAAATGTCGATTTGCAAAACAAAAGTCTCGACTGAAGAGTTAAATGAGAAATTAATAGTTTATAACGAAACATTTTCAAGAGAAATACAAATGGCAAGAAGCGATATCAACTCAATAAACGACTGTCTGTCATTATTTTGCCTTATCAATGTGGAACTAAAGTAAACATGAAATCAATAGTTTGTGTACGGGCCAGGCACGATAAAGGGAGACAATTTGTGAGGAGATAACTATTGTATGACAATACTTCCGGCAAAGTGTTATGTTTACTGCATCATGAACAATTAGTACATATTTTCCTTGTATGATGACTTCAAACAAACTTGCTTCAACAAAATGGTTCACATAAATTCTATCATCCATTGTGCTCTGTACACGTGAAATAAACTTTATACGACACACCATGTCAATGACAATAGACAGCCAAATATGACAGCCGCCATGTTCAACAGTGAAACAAAACAGGAACGTAAGAGACACGCGACACTTCAAACTTGTCGGTTAAATGCATGAGAGAAGGTAATGCACAATGCTCATAAAAGAACAGATGTCTAAACAGCTCGTGTAAATCGATATGTATAGTTATCTATCAGGCGTTAAAACGAGTGTGACCGCCTCCGTGGTCTAGTGGTAAAGCGTCCGCCCGGAGAGCGGATGGTCCGGGGTTCGATCCCCGACCGCGTCATACCAAAAGACGTTAAAAGATGGTACTTGTTGTTACCCTGTCTGGCGCTCGGCATTAAGGGGCTAAAACAAGGACTGGTCGGCTCGGAATCAGTATACAGGGTCTGAGTGGGGTATTCATGTTAAACTGCGGCATGGTATCTCAGTAAGCTAGCACTATAAATCGGCATCAGTCCGGACTAGTACAAGCAGCCACGCACACACACACACGTGCATGCACGTCGCTACATAAGTGCAATATTCATTGACGCGACGTTAAAACCCAATTTCACCTCACCTAAAACGAGTCTCTGCTGTCTGTCTCTGTAGCTGTCTCTACATGCATTATATGCGGAGATAGGGATGCAGTTTGACAACACACCTTACGCTTGTAATTTTTATTTTATGTGTTGGTGAAATCAAATAAAATCCATGGTGTCGAACACTAAAAGTGTTTATAGCTCATATGGGAAGGGAGATGAACTTTTCCTGTTACCTGGCAGGAAGGTGCTTTATGCCGACCGGCTGCTTTAGACATCCTGTAATTTCACTGCTTACGGACGAATTGCTGGAACTACTTTTTCCCCATCCATTCTGTTTATTCATCTTTTTCAACAAATGGTGTGCCGCACGAAACTTGTCATTTATATCAGAAAGCATTCTAAAAATGTATTTTTCTATCAATTCAAATGAAACATCATTCCCACATGTTTCTGTTTTTGTTCTTTTAGCTTCTTATTGGTAAGACTTGGCGATGGATAATAAGCCAGGGACTTTCAACATTATTTTCACTCAGGACAGATAATCCATAATAACTCTTCACTCATACATTTAGCTGTGTGTCAAATAAGAAGCAATTTGTAATAGAAAACAACCTGACCACACTAAACAAGAACTCAGGCATTTAATATGATTGAAATATCCCAAACCACAACTTTTTTGTGCAGATATAATTATATGGATCAATAAAGCTGTCAATGTGTGACACACAGTGACAATGTCTCAGACTTTTCAGATGGTATTACAATGTCTAAACCGGGCAGAAAATGGGTACCAGGCAGTGGAGAACTTGAGGCGGGAGACGGCATACCAATGGATTTCCTCCATGTCAATATCTGGAACATAGCCCATTATCAATAGTGTCCGGCAACACGTTACAAGTGTGAGCATAGGTAAGGTTGCGTCGCCCAACAGTATTTCCGATGTCATCCTTGTACTGACAAAAGGTACTGTCTTCGCATGTGTGACATTGCCGCGAAACCCATCCCTATTTATCATCACTATTTAAAAGGGATTTCTAAACGCATTCTTATGATGTAGCAGAGATTTTAACAGAGATTTCTTATGATTATTGAAAGGGTGTTGTTGTTTTTATTTACATGCTTTATGATTTTTAAGGTAAGGATCCGTGATAACGTACATGTGTGAAGTCCAAGCATGATACTGTAATAGGCCTCAACAGTTCAAGACCCGTGAAGATCCGGGGTAGAATAGGTCTTCAGCAACCCATGCTTGCCGTAAAAGGTGACTATGCTTGTCCTGAGAGGCGACTAACGGGATCGGGTGGTCAGGCTCGCTGACTTGGTTGATGCATGTCATCGATCCCAATTGTGTGGAACGATGCTCATGATATCAATCACCGGATTGTCTGGTCCAGACTCGATTATTTACAGACCGCCGTCATATAGCTGGAATATTGCTGAGTGCGGCGTTAAACAACAAAACAACCAACCAACCAACAGTTCAACAACATACAGTTCCTACGACATCCACACACACAGAGACGTCGCCATATGACGACCTGCGCTTATTGTTAACACCGGCTGTAGAATGACGTATAATGTTAAAGAAAGAAGTGGAATATATTTAAGCAAGAGATCCCTACCTGATCTAAGTTCTTAGTTTGCTATAGTTCCACTTACCTCAGTCTCCCCGAGTGACAGGAGACTCCCATCACTAAATTCACAAATGTATCACGTGGTAACAAACAACGCCATCAGGGGTATCTGCTGTCACAGTGACGAGGTAAAGGAAGGCAGGCTTATCTACGCTGACTTTGACAGCATGCTAACGCTGTGTGTCTGATCGTTTGATAGATAGTCTAATCCTTGTGTTCTTCTGCATTGGTTTCTGCTGCAGCGTAATGGCTAACATGCATTCTCTATCTAGAAAGGTACTGAGACATACTGATGATAGTGACTGAGCTATAGTGTTCGATTTACAGAGTGAGGA